AAAAAAGGGGGGAAAGGGGGGAGGGGGGAAATGGGAAAAATAGAGAAAAAAGGGAGGAGAAAGGGAAAAAGGGGGGAAATGGGAAAAAAGGAGAAAAAAAGTGGGGGAAGAGGGAAAAGGGAGGGAAAAAGGGAGAAAAGGGGAAAAATTGGGAAAAGGGGGGAAAATAGGGAACAAGGGAGGAAAAGGGGAAAAGGGGGGGAAGGGAAAAAAGGGGGGAAAAGAGGAATAAAGAGGGAAAAGAGGAAAAATAGAGAAAAAAGGGGAAAATAGAAAAAAAGGGGGAAAGGGGGGGAAAGGGGAAAATAGGGAAAAAAGGGGGAAAGAGGAAAAATAAGGGAGGGAAAAGGGGAAAAAATGGGAAATGGGGGAAAGGGGAAAAAGGGGAAAATAGGGAAAAATGGGGGGAAAAGGGGAAAAAAGGGGTTGAGGAAAAGGGAAAAGAGGAAAAGGAAAAAATGAGGGGAAAGGAGGGGGAAAAGGGGGAAAAAGAGGAAAGAAAATGGGGGAAAGGAGGAAAATAGGGAAAAAGGGGAAAAGAGGGAAGAAAATGAGGAAAAAAAGAAAGGGAAAGGAGGAAAAAAGGGGGAAAGAGGGAAAATATGGAGGAAAAAAGGGGAAAATAGGGAATGGGGGAAAGAAGGAAAAGAGGAAAAGGAAAAAATGAGGAAAAGGAAGAAGAAATGGGAGAAAAGGATGAAAAAAATGGGAAAAAAAGGAGGAGAAAAAGAAAAAAGGGGAGAAATGGGGAAAAAGGAGGAAGGAAAGGAGGAAAAAAGGAGAAAAATCAAGGAAAAAGAGAGGAGAAGGAGGAAAAATAAGGAAAAGTAGAGAGGAAAAGAGGAGAAAAATCAGGGAAAAAGGAGGAAAAAAGAGAAAAATCTGGGAAAAAGGGAGAAAAAATAGGGAAAAAGGAGGGAAAAGTAGAGGGGAAAAGAGGAGAAAAATCAGGGAAAAGTAGAGGGGAAAAAGGAGAAAAATCAGAAAAAGGAGGAGGAAAATTAGGGGAAAAAAGGAGGAGAAAAATCAGGGAAAAGGAAGAAAAAAGGAGAAAAAAATGGGGAAGAGATAGGAAAAAGGAGAAAAATCAGAGAAAAGTAGAGGGGGAAAAGGAGAAAAAACGGGGGAAAACGGGAGAAAAATCAGGGAAAAAGAGGGAGGAAAAGGAGAAAAAACAGAGAAAAAAGCAAGAGAAAAATCAGGGAAAAAGAGGAGGAAAAAGGAGAAAAATCAGGGAAAAAGAGGAGGAAAAGGAGAAAAAACAGAGAAAAAAGCAGGAGAAAAATCAGGGAAAAAGGAGGGGAAAAGGAGAAAAATCAGAGGAAAAAGAGGGGGGAAAAGGAGGAAAATCAGGGAAAAAGGGGAGGAAAAAGGAAAAAAAATCAGGGAAAAAAAGAGAGGGGGAAAAGGAGAAAAATCAGGGAAAAAAAGGAGAAAAACCAGGGGGAAAAAGGAGAAAAATTAGGAAAAAAAATGAGAAAAATCAGGGAAAAAGAGGGGAAAGAAGGTGAAAAATCAGAGAAAAAATGGAGAAAAATCAGGGAAAAGTAGAGGAGAAAAAGGAGAAAAATCAGGGAAAAAAGGAGAAAAATCAGGGAAAAAAGGGAGGAAAATCAGGGAAAAAAGGAGAGGAAAAGGAGAAAGAATAGGGAAAAGTAAAGGGGAAAAAGGAGGAAAAATAGGGAAAAAGAGAGGGGAAAAGGGGAAAAATCAAGGAAAAATGGGAGAAAAATCAGGGAAAGAGAGAGGGGAAAAAGGAAAAAAATCAGGGAAAGAGAGAGGGGAAAAACGAGAAAAATCAGGGAAAGAGAGAGGGGAAAAACGAGAAAAATCAGGAAAAAAGAGGGGAAAAAAGGAGAAAAACCAGGGGAAAAAAAGGAGAAAAAACAGGAAAAACGAGGGGAAAAAAGGAGAAAAATCAAGGAAAAAAGGAGAAAAATCAGGAAAAAAGAGGGGGAAAAAAAGGACAAAAACCAGGAAAAAAGGCCCAAAACCCCCAAAAATCTGGGACGACCCCTGGTGCAAACCCCCCCTTTCCCCAAACCCCCTGTCACACAACGTTGGTGGCACCTTGTTGACCTCAACCCCAAGAGATGTCACCCCATGGGTGTCACCCAACACTGGTGGCACCATGGTGACCTCAACCCCAATGGTGTCACCCAACATTGGTGGCACCACGGTGACTTCAAACCCAAGGGGTGTCACCCACTGGTGTCACACAACATTCGTGGCACCTTGTTGACCTCAACCCCAAGGGGTGTCACCCACTGGGTGCCACCCAGCGCAGGTGTGACCCGGGTGCCTTCACCCCAGCCGTGACCTCCTGGAAGAACCCACCCCACCCAAGCCACGGTGGCCCTGGGTGGCCCCGCTGCGGGCCCTCCCGGCGGTCTTTGGGGGTGTCCCCATGGCTGGGGACGTGTGAGGAGCTGCCACTGACCTGGGCGCCGTCGGCGTCGGCCTTGAGCAGCTCGCCGGAGCCCAGCTGGCCGCAGTAGAGCCCGGGCGGCCGCAGCGCCGCCTCTGCCACCTGCCGCGACACGCCGCGCTCAGCGCCAGCACCGCACCCCAGCCACCGAGCGGTGGGGATCCCGTGGTGGGTGGCATTGGGGTGGGGATCGTGGGAGTGGTGGGATTGGGATGGAGATCTCGTGGTTGGTGGGGTTTGGGATGGAGATCTGGTGTTTGGGGTGGATCTCATGTTTGGTGGGGTTGGGATGGAGATCTGGTGTGAGTGGTGGGATTTTGGGATGGACATTTTGTGTTGTGTGGGATTTGGGACGGAGATCTGGTGTTTGGGGTGGATCTCATGTTTGGTGGGGGTGGGGTGGAGATCTGGTGTGAGGGGTGGGATTTTGGGATGGATGGAGATCTCGTGTTTGGGATGGATCTCGTGGTTGTTGGGGTTTGGGATGGAGATCTCGTGGTTGGTGGGGTTTGGGATGGAGATCTCGTGGTTGGTGGGGTTTGGGATGGAGATCTGGTGTTTGGGGTGGATCTCATGTTCGGTGGGGTTGGGATGGAGATCTGGTGTGAGTGGTGGGATTGGGATGGACATTTTGTGTTGTGTGGGATTTGGGACGGAGATCTGGTGTTTGGGGTGGATCTCATGTTTGGTGGGGTTGGGATGGAGATCTGGTGTGAGTGGTGGGATTTTGGGATGGACATTTTGTTTGCTGGGATTTGGGATAGAGATCTCGTGTTTGGTGCATTTTGGGATCAGTCTCACTTTTGGGGATTTTGGGATGGAGATCTCTGGTGGGATGTGGGATGGACATCTCATGTTTGGTGGGATTTGGGATGGATGTCGTGTTGGGTGGGATTTGGGATGCGGATCTCGTGTTTGGTGGGATTTGGGATGGAGATCTTGTGGGTTCTGGGGTTTGGGATGGATCTTGTGAGTGGTGGGATTTTGGGATAGGGATCTCATGTGTGGTAGGATTTTGGGATATGGATCTGGTGAGTGGTGGGAGTGGGGATGGAGATCTCATGTTTGATAGGATTTGGGATGGATCTCATGTTCGGTGGGATTTTGGGATGGAGATCTGGTGTTTGGTGGGATTGGGATGGAGATCTTGTGACTGGTAGATTT